AGAGAGTGTGTGTGTGTGTGTGAGAGTGTGAGAGTGAGAGTATGTGTGTGTGTGAGTGAGAGAGAGTGAGTCTGAGTGCCTGAGTGTGTGTGTGTATGTTTGTGTGTGAGTCTAAATGTGTGAGTGAGTCTGAGTGTATATGTATAATAATGTGTCATGAAAATTCAAACGCAGCATCAGAAAGTTACATTAACTTACATCGTGTCTACACCAGACGCGAGCGATCGGTTTTATGGAAAAAGGAACCGTTCAGAATTAAATTTAAAAAAATTCTGTTTAAATTCCAATTCAGTTGCTGAATTTGAATTGAATTTAAATGTAGATAGCAAACAGAATGCAGAATTGCAATTTGAACTGGAATGTAAGGAGGTTGAATTAAAATCACTTTATTTCTAAGTAATTCATATTACTTTCATTCTATGCTAGACAAGTCAAGTTTGTTAAGACGAGCTTTGAATGCTGACTTGAAAAAGCCTTACATTTAAAAGGTTTATAGGCCTCAAAATATGTTGTAAATGCCTGTGGAAAATTGTATTCAGTTTATATATTTTATTATATTTATTGAGTTAACTTTTGTGCACCAGGGTAGAAGAACACATTTCCCACAATGTATAGCCTGTTGAATTTTGTTAAAATTCCTAAAATTCTCCTAAAATTCCAAACAAATACTAAATCTTGAATTCAATAAGACCGTTTTTAAATTCTGAATTTTTCCTAACCTTGTGTAGCCATTTTTCAGTAAATTTTTTTTCAGTACCAACATGTATCTGATGTAAATAATGCTCATTATAGTGTGCCTAAGATTTATGTGCCTGAGGCAGTTAAACGTGCCTGACGCCAGCGGTAAATGTGAGCTTATATAAAAGGGATGTTGGTGTCTTTTGTAATGATGGTAGCAGTCATTGGATCCAGATTGTTTGTAGGTGTAGGATGAAGGTCTGACACAGTGAGCAATATAAAGATTTGCATTTATTTGAGCTGTCAGGTATTGACAGATATTCAAATGATCTGATGTGCATGTGCCATGTGTACTGTTCAAAAGTTTGGGGTCAGAAAGATTTTTTTTTAAATTATTAATAAATTAATACTTTTATTCAACAAGATGCATTAAGGCCAATTCGCACTGCTCCGACAGACGGCAACAGACACGTTTGTCGGATTTTGTCGGATCAGTGTGTTACCCCGTCGGCATCTGTTGGAGCTCGTTTTGGCCAGTTGAACATGTTTGTCTTGGAACATCTGAGAAGTGATGGACTGTACTCGGTCGGCTGTCGGTGTTGGTCTGTGTCTGTTGGTGCGATGTGAATTGGCTTTTAAACCAATCACAGAAAAAACATGTAATATTACAAACAGGGCCAGATTTACGCATAGGCATTCTAGGGACGTGTCTATGCCCACTCGTCCAAGTGGGCCCAAGTACAATGAAGAGATATATAATATTTTTTGTTATACTATGGGCTAACTAAAACCGCAAAATCTCGTGGGCTAGACTAACAAAACATTAAAATGCAACAACGTCACTTACATCACCACATCTTGTGCGCCACTGATGACGCTCCCTGACGCACTCCTAACACTCAAATGCAAATGTTTATTTTAAATTCGACTAATATTCATTCTCTACTCACAATCTCCTCATCACAGGCAGCACAGCACTCGTGTTCGTGTTTGTGTGTGCTGCGTCACCCATAGCACGTGCACTATATCGAACATTTTTTCTATCGATATCGAAGAAGGTGTACCGTAGATAAATATCGCTACCGTTTTATCGCCCAGGCCTAATCTAAATGCAAAAATGTTCATAATTGTTTGAATAAAACAGACTACTGGGGAAAAAATCTGAATATTCATCTTGTGACCATCTTGTGATTATTTTAACAAAAGCAACAATAATATAATAATTGTAATAATAATAACAATTTTATATATATATATATATTAGTGGTCGACCGATATTAAGACTTCTATCATTATTATTTTAGACAGAACTGTTAAAGACAACAGCGAACAAGAGAGAGAATGTGAACGCTGTGTGCTCAGGCGCTGCCGCTCTCAGCCAGGGTGGCCGCCGGTCCTTAAAAAGTCTTAAAATGTCTTAAATTCAGATTCAGTAGGTCTTAAATGTTTTTGGTCACATTACCACAAACATTTCTCCAGTCTGCCGGACCCAGTGAGTGTCCATCAAGAGTACTCCCCCCCCGGCTGCAGTTACAGCGATTGATAATGGATAGTGTATTTCTATTATCAATGTCGCGCTGTTGAGGCTCGTGCTGCCTGTCTCTGTGAGAGACTTTCATGGAGAAATCAAATCAAATGAGCGTACGGCACACATAAAGAAACTCACAGAACAAACATACGGAGGTAAAAATTGATATAGTTAAAATGATATAGTCAAGTAACATACCATGACAAGGGAGCTATTTTGCTGAATATTTTCACGATTGCAAATGTTACATTGATTTTAGTTCAACAAACAAGTAGTAAAGTATATGAAGTTACTTACATTTTAGACACAATTGACTGTTTTGTTCTATTTCACCAACGAAAATAGTTCCAAACAAAGATCAGAACAGAATTATTGCGCACACTCTCCAAGCCACACCGGTGTTTTTGTTACTGAATGATTCAGAGGTTTGAAGGAATAAGTGACTTACCGCCACCTACTGGCGGTTTGGTCTCGTGCTTAAAAGTATGCATTTTCCCCCAACATTTCTTATTTGTATGT